ATTACTTGTATCTTTTACAGTGTTACGAATTCAGAAAATGTTCGACATCACACAACTGCATTGTAAGGCTGCATTGTAAAAAAAGGCTCTGACGATGTGTGACTAGCCCGAAACGTCTATAATATTTTTCGGCATCTCTAATAAAAGAATGTTTATCCAGCGCATACGCCAAGAGTGAATTGCAACTAAATAGGGCGGTTGTCAGTTGACAAACCCCCTTTGTTTAGCGTCAAGAATGCTTTCCAGAACCCTGTACATGGTATTACACAGTCGATGTACGCTCCTATAGAAACCCACCTCAAAACGAGGTCCCAATTAACTGTTGCTCGCAGCACGGTTGGAAAACTCCTTCCGCTTCCAAGCAGAACTTGAACCTGGTACCTCTCAATCATGGTCTTAGAAAAACCCACTGTGCCTGCCTGCCTGCCTGGCGGCCTGAGTTTTACAAAGCATATGCAAAAACATACAATCATAAGCATCGTCTTTTACCCTGACCTCGTCCCAACAGTTATATCGCAGTGCGTTTGTGCGGCCATTTTTGTGCAGGCAGTTTCGAGCAATGATAAGCCATGTTCCATTTCTCAGGGTGAAAGAACAGTTTTCGTACCAGTAACAGTTTTGGTATTGGCAAGGACAGTGTGTTTCATATAGCCGATGTGAGCCAGACGCAAGCGGCAGGATGGTGTTGGATTCGCTTATATGAAATCAACTATCTGCAGGCTCCCTGGGTTAGGAATAGCACTATGTGAACTGGATAATGAGTGAGTTATGGAAGCAAGGACTGAGAACATAGTGTCTGGGATAGAATTGTTGTGCAAGCGGATAGCATAAATTGGCCATGACCCAGAACCACTTGGGACCATCAGATTAATTTTCCAGGACCAAGCCAGCCTGTAAAAAACCCTCGCGCCGACGGAAGCAGTAGTAAGGGACAAAACCGAGGGTACATGCCAAGTGACGATTAGGCATCATGTAGGCATGGCAGGCACTTCACGGCAAAAAGTGATATAAAATCGATAAGAAGGTTAACAGAAATGTACGGTGGGATACCAGGTACACTGATGAGACGCAAAACTTACTGAAGAAGTCAGGAAAAGGAAAGACAAAAAAACACCAGATGCATATTTGAAATTAAAAGGTTTTGCAAAAAAATCATTTCTGACCTATCTCGCTGCGCTCGGCCGGCGAGAAATACAATTAATTGTGCGATTTCTGAAAACCTCGTTAGCCCTACGCACCCCTTTGCGCCAGGCCTAATATTCTTCATTGGATACGTAAGAGATATGTCAAAGTTAAGGTGCCATCTTTACATGAATGGATTGCAAAATGTGATATTGCTAGCATACAGGATACCATTCAGCGACACCGACTTCTGGCCGTTTTGGAGACCTTCCTACTTCTGGATTACCGGCGTTTGGTGAGGTTGCTCATCGCTAACACGACGCTGAGTGTTCGACTTGGAGGTTTTGAGTCTACCCCTTTCCACACAACAACTGGCACTCCACAGGGAGACTCCCTTCCCCTGTGCTATTTGTAGTCTATCTAGACGCAGCACTGCGCGATGTCCTCGCCACAGCCCTACCTCGCTGTCCTGCAGATAGCACTCTACCAATCGACATCATATACGCGGACGACACCGATTTTGTCAGTACCTCATCTGCTTGGCTAGCACAGCTTGAACCTCTTGCCGCAACAGTTCTCAGGCAATAGAATCTACATGTCAACGCAGACAAGATCGAACACACAAAACTCACCCGGCAGCAGGATCGAGTCTCGGAAGAATGGAGAATGACGAAAAAGTTAGGTTCTCTGATTGGTGACGACGAAGACATCACCAGGCGAAAACAGCTCGCCACAGCGTCCTACAGAGCAATGTACAGTCTTTGGAAGCGGAGAACATTAGTGCGTCAGGAATTGAGACTGAGGCTGTACAACGCATTCGTGATGCCAGTCTTACTGTACAACAGCGGCACCTGGGCACCCACTTCAGTCGCCGAGGCCCAACTGGATTCGTTTCACCGCAGGCAGTTGCGTAGTCTCATCGGTATTAGGTGGCCATAAAACAATAAGCAATGCTGCTCTCTACAAGAGGTGCAAAGCAAAACCGATATCTAACTTTGTTCGCCTAGCCAGATGGAGACTATTTGGCCATATACTGCGCATGCCTGACGGATGTCCTGCTGTGGCGGCGATGATTAACTATTACCTGGTGAAGGAAACAGTGTGGAGAGGACGGCCGAGAACGACTCTGCCTATCGTGCTATCCCGTGACCTGCAGAGAGTGGGGCGGAGGGGACTAAAGACGTTGTCTGATCTCCTCTCCCTCCCGGAGATTGCACAGGGCAGAGGGGAGTGGAAGGACCTTTGCAAGGACATCTGCAATACTGCTCCGAAATATCACAGTACTGCTTTTCATAACTGCTGCGGTAATAATAATTAACATCTTTTTTTTAACTAGCAATGAAAAATATCAATTGTGCACTCATAACCATCTATAAACAATTAAAATGAAAAAATTCCAGAACGTTTTCGTGTGACCATCATCAGTGGAACATCGTCACATAGTAAGAATCACTAAAACAACCTCTTTCATCCCGTTCTCCCCTCTTTTTTGGGGATTCTTTGTACTTCGTCCTTCTTGTTTTTCTTGTTCCTTTGTTTTTTGTAGGACAGATTTTTGGTGTACTGATTTCGGTTGTTGCTGTGTCTGACTCTATTCCCATTATCTAATTCTGTGGTTGGTTTTCCAACTCATTGGGTTGTAGTTTCCATCAAAAATCACTAAAACAACCAGTTATATAGCTAGAGTAATATGAAAAGAAGCGTGAGAATGCAGCACAGCTAGCGGTTATGCATAACGCGTGTAGTGTGAACCTTTGCAGTGTATCTGAGAATGGTAGCAGTAGATGAATGTGGCAGCTGTGAGTGCGTTTGAACAAAAACTGGTGAATGCGTATTATTTAAAAAGTGTGAGTGCTACAACATTTTCTTTTTGCTTGCATAGAACAGTGTTATTTGTCACGCACGTTTCTTTAAGCAGTTGCAGGTGTTGGAAGCTGTATATATTCGCACACGTGACCCTGTTCTATGCAAGCAAAAAGAAAATGTTGTAGCACTCACACTTTTTAAATAATACGCACTCTCACCAGTTTTTGTTCACACGCACTCCCAGCTGCCACATTCATCTACTGCTACCATTCTCAGATACACTGCAAAGGTTCACATTACACGCGTTATGCATAACCGCTAGCTGTGCTGCATTCTCACGCTTCTTTTCATATTACTCTAGCTATATAACTGAATGTTTTAGTGATTCTTACTATGTGACGATGTTCCACTGATGATGGTCACACGAAAACGTTCTGGAATTGTTTCATTTTAATTGTTTATACATGGTTATGAGTGCACAATTGATATTTTTCATTGCTATTTTACGACTGTTGTCTCCTCGTCGGTTATTTAAATCTTTTTTTAAATACCAACAAAATTCCTCTCTTAACGTAGTGCGTGGATTTGCATCCACCTGCCACCATTTTACAAGATTTTTCTCAAAACGGATTCGACAATGCCCTTTATCCTGTGTCTGCGTCCTCTGTTCAATCTGAGCAATGCTGTCATGTGCCCCTTAGCAGGAACGTCTTGTATTGTATTTCTATTTCTGTTGTTGCTCTTTTTATTTTCATTTTCCATTTCCCAATTCCCAAGTCCATTCAGCACGTGCGAATTTGAGAGGGGTTTACCACCGCTGACATTGACGCGTAAGTGCATAATAATAATAATATGTATAGATTATAGACCGGTTAGGAGGTCTATACAGGATATATAGACCGAGTAAAAGACCGAGGTCCCCCGAGGTCTTTTACGAGGTCTATATATCCTGTATAGACCAACTATGAGGTCTATAATCTATTTATCGTGTTCTCCACGCAATAGTTTCTCTTCATATACGACATATCCTTGTAATTCTAGTATTATACTATAGCCTATACCGCATTGTACGGCATTGCAGGATCAAGGTCATTGTTTAAACTAGGTTCAGCATCGGTAGCACAGTGGCTGGGTGGTAAGAAAGAGTAACTGAGATTCACATGGTTGTGGGTTCAAATCCCATCTTGTGTATTTCTGCTTTCTTCAAAAATTTCTTTTTCTAAGTTGGAGAGAAAATTTCTAAGTCCAAGAAATTCTAAGGAGTCAAATATAAGTAGTCAAATATATTGTGTATTTGACTAAGCAGTCAAATACGCGATATATTTGACCGCTTAGGTATCAGGGAAATTAGTGGGGTCAAATACTAAGAAGGCGATAAAATAATAATACAGGATAGAGTGTGTAGAGCTACTTCAATATTATGGTTTTGTTCTGGTTCTAAAGTTAAGCTGCAACCAGAGGACCCATCGAAAAGATTGACCCAATGGACCATAAGCGGCTGTGCCCTCATGAATATCGCCAAAGGCGTTAATCGACGGTGACTTTGTTGCCTATCTCCATATGGTAGAACAGGTTGTCAGCTTTGTGACAGGTGCAGGTGAATTCCTGAGAAATTTTGCTGAATCTTCCCGGTACTTGTGTCCTTTGTCATGTTCTCAAGCTTTCCTCACCTAATGGAGGCCTGCATATCGTCTTGTCGCTCCTGACCAAGGTGAACTAGGCTGTAATCCTAGGTTAGGCCATACTAGCTTGACGGTGCATTGTTTGTAGATATAAATAGTGTGAGCTGTTCTGCGACTATTTTCTAGGCCCTTGAATTATCTTGTTTCGCGGCCATTATATGAGGGTATGCTTCGTGTCAAGACTGCGCCTTGATCCTTGAAGGTTGTTGGAGTACATACGGAATGCGGAAAGATGTTTTGGGGGTCAAGAATGAGTTTGAAAACCTTGTACGAGGCAATGCACAGTCGATCTACTCTTCAATGGAAATCTACCCAAACATGCGAGCGACATTGCGAGGATCGCCACACCCCTAGGGTTTCTCACACATGTGGGCAGACAAGAGACAGAGATCGAATGGGAAAGAAAGAGTGCTAGATAAAGAAAATGGGTAGCTATGGCGCAAGTATCTATTGAAGGCCACTGGAACAAAACCTGAAAGAAGGATGAATGCAAGCCAGCAGGAAGAGGATGCAGAAGGGGTCAATGTACGGGAGACGGAACCTTACACTGCCTATGTTGGGAATAGATTGTGAGAAACTGAATAAAGAATGATTATACGCGTTTACAAGTTGAAGTTAAGCAGTCTTGCATATGTTATGGATGCAGTACACCACAATAGAACATGTTCTCGAGGAAAACGTGGGCACTGTGATTAGATGAAATGCCCAAGGCGTCAACAACACCGCAAGCGTATGGTGGTGATGTGTGCGATGTTGAAGACGAAAGCAATACGTGTAAAGAAGGCGTCAGCTACATGAACGCAAAGTCTTCTTCGCTACCTTGTCATTGGATTTTGCGAAGTAAAACAAAGTTAAAAAAAAAAGTGAGAGAATCCAAACAGAGTAAGCGTTCTATAGGGATACATTTATTACCAACGCAATGGTGTGGGCCAGGGCAGTAGTGTTGCACTGAAGTGTGACATGCATGCGAAGGTCATGTGTATATGCTGGAAAGGGCAGACCACACACAGACCACAGTCAACTGAGTCTTTCGTACAACAATGTACATGCAAACAATTATTTATCATCTCCAGAGAAAGTAACAATGTACTGAATACGGCACCAAAACAAGCCTGGAACTTCACATTCCAATTAGGGCTTACGGCGCCTGAGTATCGACGAAGGTATAGGCAAGTTGCTGCTTTGCTTGATCTAGCGGAAGGATCATCAAAGGATAGTCAGCACCACCCTTTGCCTTTGTTTTACTTACGCACAGCACGGTCTCGTTGTACGCTAGACACCGCAATTGGTAACCAGTGATGGGTCCCTCACGAATGAAGTATAAACCTGGCGTGCACAGAGCCTGTTCTGGTCCGAACGGTGGTGTTTCTATCATTCCAACGTCCCATTCCCATGTGCCGTCGCGCCGACTTATCGTGTTGCCAATGAAGCGAGGCTGCATTTCATACGGCTTACCGACTGATGCCTGTTGGGGTTTGGAGGCGCCCTGGAAAACAATGCGTTGCTCTGGTGGTTTCGGTGAATAGCCACACACACCACTTATGGAACACGTACGCACAACAAACACTCCTTCTTGAACGGGTGGCATTTCTAAAGAAGGAGGAAAGGGAACCAAGATGTAATGATCACATTGAGCCGTACTAGAGAAGGGAGGGGGGTTGGAAACGGGAAAATTCTGAAGAAAAAAGGTATAATGTCACCACCACACCACTTAAACATTGATCACTGCAGACATCATATTAAACAGGAAAATAACAATAAATACAATGCTCGATAATGTGATCTACACAATATACAATACAACCTGAATTGATCACGGTGAAACTCGATAGTAAGAACACAATAAACACAACTATAATTATAATCTCGGATTGTAAGGCAATTAATTTACACTACAAAACATTCCTCTGCGTTTAAGACTAAACCGGGAATCGCGAGGGGGGGGGGGGGGAGGGCGTGTGTTGCATCAGTGTTATGGCCTGATTACGTCGCTCGTTTTCAAGGGAAAATGGACTCACTGAGGCGCAGATAAACCGTGCGCCAGGCAGTAGCCATGGGGTCACCATAAACTGTGAGAAACTACACATCATTCACCTTGTCACTGTTTTGGCTTATTACGAAATCAAGTGCGAAACAGTTTCTAGGAGGCTTCCATTGGAACACATGTACGCACCGTCAGGCAGGCATAATGAGTTGGTCAAACACCATGATTAAGATACGAGAGGTACTTGGTTCAAGTCCTGCCTGGGGGTGGTTTTTCCAGCCGTGCTGCTACCCACAGTCAACTGGGAACTTGTGGCCAGACACAAGGGGTATGTACATATATGCGGCTAATTGGGTCTTTCTTGGCACTTTTGCCAGTGGTTGTGAGACTTTCCCCCTCACCCCCACCGTTAGGCGCTGCTAGGGTCTACCGGGTGTTACCAGCCGTCGTAAATTCCCATCGGGAATGGACACGATAATTTAATTTTTTTTACACTCCATCAGTCTACTGTTGGACACGTGCACAAACGTTAAGGACACAAATCACCTGAAGGTTTACTTACGCTCATTTTTGTAGCTCCTAGCGTAGAGTCGCCCAGTGGAGGTGCCTTCATAAGTATTGTATCAAGAACACAACAAAGTCAGTAAAGTACGGTATTCAGGTTTCTCGAACACTCTAATACCGTCATGATATCCATGATTTACAATTAATTTTTTTTCACCTTATAAACCGAGTACAATGATGTGCAGTGATCGTTTTAACTGCATTGATCGCTGCTATGCCCTGTGTTTGGCTGTATACATGTGTACGCTTGCTCCCCTTCCAATCTAGTTCCCCGTTATCTGCTGTGTTGGTAAACCAAGAAACTCTGAGTCAAAATGAAATAGAAAGGAAAAGAACATATGGAAACGAGTTAAGAGTAACTCTCCACCACTGTAACTAGATACTATATACAGTCAGAAAGTGCAACAACTAGGCACAAAACTGACAGAGTACTGAGACATTCGACGTCCTGACACCTAGCTTCAACACATCTCCGTAGCGCTAACCGACAGCCTTCCAACTTGGAAGGTTCAAGGTTATGGAAAGACCAAAGAGGGGAAGGCAAGCGCAACGAAAACGAGCACAAGCTACAGTCCAAGCTACAGCTACAGTTGCCTTCCCCTCTTTGGTCTTTCCATAACCTTAAACCTTCCACGTTGGAAGGCTGTCGGTTAGCGCTACGGAGATGTGTTGAAGCTAGGTGTCAGGACGTCGAATGTCTCAGTACTCTGTCAGTTTTGTGCCTAGTTGTTGCACTTTCTGACTATATAATAGTTACAGTGGTGGAGAGTTACTCTTAACTCGTTTCCATATGTTCTTTTCCTTTCTACTTTTATTATTGGCTCAATACCGGAGTTTCAAAATGAAAAATATTCTATTGTTGCACGTACAAAAAATGTACACTGCTCACCACAAGAACCCAGGCCTTTAACAGGATAAGGTGAGTTTTTTGGGAGCTTGCTGGACTATAATGTTATCGCCCAATTCTTTAATAAAATAGAATGGTAGAAGGGGACTCGCCTACAATTTAGTGCATTTTGCGACCTTGTAGCACATTGGATTTGTAGTCATTCAAAAGAATCGACTGTACCGGAAGTTCAGTTGGAGGGGTGATTCTACTGACTCACGTATCACATAAAGATCCTCCTGCAATGTGGACACCGGTTTCACAAATCTGAGCTGTTCCATCGTCACCATGGAACCTGTGCCTGTAGGACATGGCCGACCTCCTTCTGGTGATCTTGATCCACAGCAGCCCATTTTAATTCTGCAAACTGGTACGCTGGCCGACAGGAGCACTTCTGGAGCTCCTTCTCTTGTCTTCTTTTTATTTAGAGTCCACAAGGATTGCATGAAGTAAGTTAGTTCGTCGTCTAATGTGCTCGCCCACCAGGCTCTTCGCTACTATGGACGACGTGCGCGTTTCAGCTTCGCTGTCGACATCAATAACAGATCCAAAAAAGAAAATGTT